ACATAATGGATTGCATCTGCTCAGCTACAAATAAATGGTGGGATTTCTTTTCTGAAAGAAATTATATTAGCATATTATCCATAATACATCCCAGTCTGGGTTTTTTGCTTGTTGTTTATTGTTTACTGTTTTTTCTTTTTCTTTTTCTTTTTGAGTCAGGGTCTTACTCTGTTGCCCAGGCTGGAATGCAGTGGGATTATCAGTTTACTGCACCTTCAAACTCCTGGGAACAAGCAATCCTCCTGCCTCAGCCTTTGGAGTAATTGGGACAACAGGTGCACATGTCTAGATAAATTTTTATTTTTTGTAGAGATAGGGTCTCCCTATGTTGCCCAGGCTACTCTCGAACTCCTGGACTCACATGATCCTCCCACTTCAGCCTCTCAAAGCGCTGGGATTATAGGTGTGAGCCACCACACTCAGCCTCACACAGGTCTTTAAGTAACAAAATACAAGCTCCTCCTTGTCTCAACACTTCACACATGCCCTTCCCTTCTCCTGTCAGCTCTTTGTCCAATTTAACTCCAACTCAGTCCTTGAAGTCTCGGCTAAATATTTTCTTGGGAAAGCCTTCCCTGTCTCTCCTCATTCCCCCGCCCCCCCTCCCCTGCACATACCGCTGACTCCATTATATATTCTCATAGCACCCTCTACTGTCCTCCACAGCATGCATCAGAATTGTAATTAATAATTAGTTTTGTTTATATATTTACTGTCTATCTCCCTTGCTAGATTTATAGGCAATTTAAGGACAGGGGCTTTATCTGTTTTGGTCATCATTGTATCCCCAACACCCAGCACACTGCTGATACACTGGAAGTGTTTGATAAAAATCTGTTAAGTGAAGGAATGAATGGAATATGTAGCTAAGCACTACATTCTGGAGTGACATGGTATTAGCTTTGCCTTTACTAGCTCTATGCCTTTGTTGCTGTTGTTTTTTGAGACAAGGTTTCACCTTTTTTTTTTTTTAAGACGGAATCTTGCTTTTGTCACCCAGGCTGGAGTGCCGTGGTGGAATCTCTGCTCACTGGAACCTCCACCTCCCAGGTTCAAGCAATTCTCCTGCCTCAGCCTCCCAAATAACTGGGATTACAGGTGCCCACACCATGCCTGGCTAATTTTTGTATTTTTTCAGTAGAGTCAGAGTTTCACCACATTGACCAGGCTGGTCTCGAACTCTTGATCTCAGGTGATCCGTCCACCTCAGCCTCCCAAAGTGCTAGGATTACATGTGTGAGCCACTGCACCTGGCCAAGACAGTGTCTCATTTTGCCACCCAGACTTGGGTGCAATGGTGTGATCTCAGCTCACTGCAGCCTCAACCTTCCAGGTTCAAGGAATCTATATGCCTCAGCCCCAACAAGGAGCTGGGACTACAGGCGTGTGCCACAATGCCTGGCTAATAGCTCTATGCCTTTGGATAAATTTATTAACATCTCTAGTCCCATTTCTCCCTCCATAAATGAAGATTATAGTTCCTATTTTTAGAGTTACTATAGAATTGAATAATTCAGTAAAGTGATTAGCACGGTGCCTGGAACATAGCAAACAGTCAAAAACTATCAACTATAATTAAGGAATAGAGAAAAGGGGGCATGTAAATGATAGGGAAGGCATATTCCACACCCTTGACAAGGGCACAAACATAATTCCTTTATGCAAATATACTGTTGCAATCAAAATAAAGTAAATATTTTAAATATACCATAGAAATGCATTATCTTTTTTTTTTTAAAGACAGGGTTTCACCATGTTGGTCAGGCTGGTCTTGAACTCCCGACTTCAGGTGATCCGCCTGCCTTGGCCTCCAAAGTGCATGGATTACAGGCGTGAGCCACTACGCCCAGCCTGCATTATCTTTTTTTTATTTTTTTCCAATTTAGGTTGTCACCAACAGAAATGCACCATCTAAAAGAACCCAAAACAGGGATCTGTTTATAAAGCCAAAAATCTTTCTGGATATGAAGTGATCATGTACTCACTTATCTAGCTTGCACACTTCTGTGTATGGGATCAGGCTCTTTAAGAGCAAAGCACATCAGGAATCAATTACTTTAGGCAGCAGGGTTCCAAATCTGGGCTTGAAAACCTACAAGACCACAGCCAAGCTAGCTGTGCTGCCCTTGGCCCAGAATATTCTAAAAAGGCAACAGGCTTGTCTTTAAGATATGTGTCCTTCCCTTCCTGTAGGAAACTCCATGTCTCAATGAGAAAATGTACCTTCACTCTGGTGTTCTTCAGCATCCCAGTGTCATCCTGGCCACCCACCCACCTCACTTCCTGGTGCATCCTCCCTTCCCCAGTACAGCCCCTTTAGCTTTGTTTTGGTCTTCTCTCAGATTTTCCCACTTTGGACACATTGTTTAAATGTTAGAATTTCTTCATCTGTAAAAATGGAACTAAAACAGTAATTCTATCTTGAATAAATAACATAGTATATGCCAAAAATTAGCAAATGGTAACTATTGTTTTAATGTTTCTTTCCTTTTCCTGTTTTGTTTTGTTTTTAAAGACAGGGTCTCCTCCCTCTGTAATCCAGGCTGGGGTACAGTGATAAAATCACCATCACAGCTCACTGCAACCTCAAACTCCCCAGCTCAGGTGATCCTCCTGCCTCATCCTTCTGAGTAGCTACAACTACAGATGCACTACCATGCTCAGCTAATTTTTAAAGTTTTCTGTAGAGATGAGGTATTACTACGTTGCCCAGGCTGGTCTTGAATTGCTGGCCTCAAGCAATCCTCCCACCTCAGCCTCCCAAAAGGCTGGCATTATAGAAGTGAGCCACCACACCAGGCTCTGTTTCAGTATTTCTACGAGATCCCTAATCAATCTACAAGCCAGAAAAGAATTAGAACAAAGATCCTTTCCAGTGGCATGATTTTTTAAATTCAGACCCCATGTTTTCTATAATAAAAGAAACCCATCTACTCCATTAGCCAATGTACCATAATAAAATGTTTAACCCCCCAAAAGCTCCAAATGTTGCAAAGGACAAAAAAATTAGTAAGTGAAATAGTACTCATTTCCTAAAAAAGATTAATTCGGCAAAACACAATTTATATATAACCTATTTTTATAAGGCCTTCCTTTAAAGCAAGTCCTAATACATAATCTTCAGTCAACTGTTAATCTGGAATCCTCACCATATTGCTTTTGGGATTAGTAGAATGCCATCCTGGGGAATCCCAGCAGAAAGGTGCAGTCTTACTGGTCACCCCAGGGCAAGGCCCAGTCATGACCTCTTCCCTCCATCTGCATTTCATCCCATCATAAACCTCAGGAAAAATAAAAAGCATCGTCATCTTAAGAAAAAGTGGCAGGGGGGCTCAATATGTTTATCACGTTATGGCAAGACTCCAGATTATCTCTTTCTTAAATATAAAACCTTTAACAAAGATCCATTCAAAGGCAACCTTTTGTACTTGAATGAATACAAAGTTCTGCAGGGAGGCCTGGGTCTAAAAACCTGCCTTTCCCACTTATTTGTGATAGGTAATCTTAGCTTCCTAACTCTCTAAAAACATACTGTGATACCACCCATGTTACTCTGTCGCTGTGAGGAGGAAGAAAGATATTTAGATATTTTTAATGGCCATTCTGGTACGTGCTCAAAAAAGTTAGTTCCCCCACGGCCTTTCTGAAAAAATTATTACATTATTTTGCTAGTTCTAACTGTATATCGCCAAGCCCAGGATCCCTTTTTCCACCTACTACTTCTCTAGCAACTCTTTTTTTTCTCCCCCATACAGGTTAGAGAACCAGAAAAGCAGGCCGAGCGCGGTGGCTCATGCCTGTAGTCCCAGCACTTTGGGAGGCCGAGGCGGGTGGATCACGAGGTCAAGAGATCAAGACCATCCTGGTCAACATGGTGAAACCCCGTCTCTACCAAAAATACAAAAAATTAGCTGGGCATGGTGGCGCGCGCCTGTAGTCCCAGCTACTCGGGAGGCTGAGGCAGGAGAATTGCCTGAACCCAGGAGGCGGAGGTTGCAATGAGCCGAGATCGCGCCATTGCACTCCAGCCTGGGTCACAAGAGCTAAACTCCGTCTCATAAAAATAAAAAATAAATAGAGAGAGAGAACCAGAAAACCAATTCCTGGTAATTCCCCTAAGAGAAGCGAGTATATATGTGTAAATGAAACCCAAAAGTTACTTCAAAAGTAACTTCACGATTCTCAAATCATTACACCAAAGGTTTGGAAACTGAAAAAAGAGCCTTATGCGGCTACCATTTGTTGAAAACCCACTATGTCTCAGACACCAGCTGAGCACCTTGCACGCACAGTCTCATTTACGCCTCACAACAACCTTATGAATGGGCTTGTTATTCCCAAATTTACAGCTGAAGAAATAGAGACACCAAGAATTTAAAACATTTGCCCAAAGCCGCACAGCCAGGAAGCCGCAGAGCAAGTATTGGAAGAGCAAGATATCACAAACAGCCATTCCCGTGGATGGATGCTCTGAGTCAGCGCCCTCCCTCCGCCGTTTGAAAACCGGAGTTCCTTTGCTAGTCCTAACTCGCCGTCACTGGCCAAGATGCCACCGGTCCCCAGCGCTCAGCCCTCGGTCCTGCCACTCGCACACGCTGTGGGGCCTCCCCTACGTCTCGCAGAAATACGGTAGTAAATAGGCGAGAGCCAGGGGCCCTCTGGGCGCAGAGGCCTTTCACACACAGCGCCCAGCGCAGGTCCGCCGCATCGCGACGCCCATTTCCAGCCGTGGAAAGCTCACTCAGCGATCTCGGCAACATGCAGAGTTCTCCGCCAAGCCGGAGCCAGGGCCTTGGTCCCAGCGCCTGAGCTAAGTCTTCCTTCAGAGTTCGGCTTCGCGGTGATCCGGAAGCCGCCCGGGATCCCGCGCGCTCCCCGACGGCCAGCGGCCTTCGCCGGACCACTACACCGCTGCCCGTCACCTAGGCCGGGGAGTCGCCTCAGCTCAAGGTGGGACCCTATCCCCTCACCTTGGAGGTTCCCTCCTCCTCAGCACTCACCTGCTCCCCTGAGAGGCCATGGGCAATCAATTCATCCTCCCGCCTCGGAAGTGACGTGTACGCAGCAGGCGCGGGTCCGTCCAATCCAGTGTTGAGGTTGCGCATGCGCGTTGGGCGGGTGTCCCTCAGGATGCAGGTAGGACCCGCGGGACCCGAGATCTGAATAGGGTCCGCCTGTCTAACTACCGTGCCTTCTTCTTCCGGAGGGAGATTCCAAAGGTCGTGGTTGGTGTTCCGTGGACTTTCGGTGAAGAACAAAGTTGGAGAATTCGCAATGCAGTTACCAAGATGATTATAGTGCCTCAGTAATCAGAACAGTGTGATAACTGGTACAAAGGTAGTAACAATGAATGAGAGAGAGAGAGAGGCTGGAAACAAACCCACAGCTTTGTACACTTTTTTTTATCCTACAAGTAGCCACTGTAATACAATGAGGAAAGTTTCTTTTTCAATATATAGTGCTAGGTCAATTGAATGTCGATTGGGAGAAAATGAACCTTGATTCCTACCTCAAGTAAAATAATTTTAGATGGATGATGGATGGTAGACCTGAATGTCTCCCATTGTCTAGACATTGTTTTATTGTCTAGAGATAAAATCGCAGAATATCATGACCCATGGAGAGGAAAATATATTTTAGCAGAATACCAAAAGTGAGAGTCCTAAAGGAAAAGGCTGATAAGTTGGGCGTCAGTAACTGTAAGACACCAAAAAGACCCAACTGAGAAGGGAAAGAGAAATAGAACACACAAGATATTTGTAATACATATATCTGAAATTGAATTTTATTCAGAATATATATGCACTTCTTACAAAATAAATTTTTTAAAGGACCTGAAGTGATTAAAAAAAAAAATCATGAAAAGCGGGTATTGAGAGAGTAAAGGGCAGAAGAAGGGTCAGGGAGACTCTCATCGTTCAAAATTCACAAGATGGCAAAGGTGTGTAATGTGGAAAATCTTTCTCTCTGTTCTCCAGGCACCCTCTTCACCTCCCGCTAGGTAACAATGCTATTAGCTGTGTGTTTTCTTCCAGAGCTAGTTTATTAATAATCAAGCAATTATGTATATGTTCAGCACCCTGCCTTGTTTCAGCATTCTGAAACACCCTTCTGTTTCTTGCTTTTATTCACTTTAGTGAATTAATATATCATGGAAATTCATACAGATATCCACAAAATCCGAATATGGGAAATTTTATTTTAAAATATTTTTGACGTTTTCACAGAAGTTTGTATACCTTCCTGGCCCCTCTCCACTGTTCTAGAAACTAGATTCCTGCTTGCCAATTCACAAAGTTTGAATATCCTTGTAACAAATTCAATATGAACCTGTGAGGCAGGAGAGTAGGGTCTGGAGGCAAGAAACCTAAGACTAATACACGCTGACTTCCTAGAACTAAATCAAAAGGAAAACCTGAACTTTCCTTGCCCAAGTAACAAAAGGACCAGAAGCTACTCCCTTTGCAACCTGCCTGCTTTTCTGCCTGGCAGATGAAAAACTGAAGGTACCTCTGATCGGTCCCCTCCTGCAACCAATCAGGCTGGTCACAGGCCACTACTTCATTTATATAGGATGTACACCAGGTAACCAATGGGAAACCTCTAGAGTGTATTTAAACTCCAGAAAATTCTCTAACTGGGCCCTTGAGCCACCTGCTAGGCAGGCTCCCACCCTGTGGAGTGTGCTTTCGTTTTCAATAAATCACTGCTTTTGTGGCATCATTCTTTTCTTGCTTTGTGTGTTTCGTCCAATTATTTGTTCAAAATGCCAAAAACCTGGACACCCTCCACTGGTAACACCTGAGTCTTTACTGCATGACTAAGTCCATTTCCTGTGATTCATTTCCCAGGCCTGCTACCTTCTTAGCCAACCCACTCTTCAATCCTGCGGGAATTTGTTTTAGAAGCAACACAATACATTTCAATGTTTTGGTAACCAATTTGAATTGCATCTGTCAAATGCAAATGTAAGAACTCTAACTTCACAACCAGGATATTATACAAATAGATTTCAATGGGCCAGGTGCAGTGGCTCACACCTGTAATCCAGCACTTTGGGTAGCCGAGGCTGGCAAGAGTTTGACACCAGCCTGGCCAACATGGTGAAATTTCACCTGTGGTCTATAGTAGGCCATTTCTCCATGAATTATGCCTGGCTCTCTCAGTGAGCCTTTTTAGTCTGGGGACTCATATCTTTAAATGAGGGAAGTTCTATGATCTCTTAGGCAATATTCTGGTTAGCTATTGCTAACATTGTACCAAATGCCCCCAGCTTAAGTGACTTAAAACCACAATCATCGCTTTATAACCTCTCACGGATGTTGGAAAAGCTTCACTAGGTGGTTCTCTGTCATGAGATCATAGCAAGATGAGAGCTGGATCTGGAACTGTGGGGACTGGAGCAGCTGGAGTCTTATTGGACATCTTTCTTTTCTCAGAGCATCCTATGTGATCTCTCCACAAGGCCTCTTTTGGGCTTCCTCACAGTATGGCAGCCTTGGGCAATCTGTCAGCTTTCATAGTGGCTCAGGACTCCAAGGCAATTCTTCCAGCAAGCACAGCAGAAAGAATGTTGCCTTTGATGACCTAGCTTCCTATCAAACAGTCTCCCTTCTATCATACTGGTGAATATACAGTCACAAAAGCCTCTGAGGATTCTAGGGCAAAGGAATTGCAAAACTGGGCAATTCAGGTAAGTATTCTTAACCCTCCTTAATATTAAGAGGTATACAGGCCACAAGCGTAGTCAGTCTTCACACCGATGTCTTTAAAAAATAAATGTAGCGAGAACGATCCAAGATGGCCGGTCGCTAACATCCCGGGATTGCAGCTCTCAGGGAAGGCGCGGAGAACGAGAGGACGCCACACTTTCAGACAAAGTCTGGTCGCTCACGAAGCAGAAGATCCCCCAGTGGTGGAAACACACGAGTCGCCAGCGCGACTCTCGTGGTTGGCGCAGCGGTTCCGCCGGCACCTCGATGTGGCAGCGCTCGGCGCAGAGTAAACGGGACGGTTTCCCTTCTGACCGAGGTTTGGAGCCCCGGGAAGGCAGAGTCGCCTACTAAGGAAACAAGAAGGAAGCCCGACAGGAGAATCCTGGGCAGAAAAGCACCATCAGTTTTAACGCCGCTGCTCTGGCCCTAGGAACTAACAACCTGGACGTCCACTCAAGAGACCTAATCTGAAAGTTGGTAATTTCAAAGATGACAGGAGGATAAATTTACAATGACGGGAAGAAACCAGCGTAAAAAAGCTGAGAATACTCAAAGTCAGAACGCCTCTCCCTCTAAAGATGATCACAGCTCCACATCGACAATGGAACAAGGCTTGATGGAGAACGAGCGCCTCCTGATGACAGAATCACTCTTCAAGGAATGGATAATAACAAACTTCGGTGAGTTAAAAGACCATGTTGTAGCCCAACGTAAAGAAACTAGGAACTTTGAAAAAAGGTTTGATGAAATCCTATTGAGAATAGACAACTTAGAGAGGAGTATGAGTGAATTAATGGAACTGAAGAATACAATACAGGAACTCCGAGAAGTATGCACAGGTTTAAACACTCGAATTGTTCAAGCAGAAGAAGGGATATCAGAGGTCAAAGTCCAACTTAATGAAATAAAACGTGAAGAAAAGATTAGAGAAAAAAGGATAAAAAGGAATGAGCAAAGTCTCCAAGAAATGTGGGACTATGTGAAAAGACCAAATTTACGTTTGATAGGTGTACCTGAATGCGACGGAGAGAATGAATCCAAGCTGGAAAATACCCTTCAGGATATTATTCAGGAAAATTTTCCTAAACTAGCAAAGCAGGTCAACATTCAACCCCAGGTAATACAGAGAACACCACAAAGATATTCCTCAAGAAGAGCAACCCCAAGGCACATAATCATTAGATTCACCAGGGTTGAAACGAAGGAGAAGATACTAAGGGCAGCCAGAGAGAAAGGTCAGATTACCCACAAAGGCAAGCCTATCAGACTTACAGCAGATCTCTCGGCAGAAACTCTACAGGCCAGAAGAGAGTGGGGGCCGATATTCAACATCCTCAAAGAACAGAACCTTCAGCCCAGAATTTCATATCCAGCCAAACTAAGCTTCACAACTGAAGGAAAAATAAAATCTTTTATGAACAAGCAAGAACTCGGAGATTTTATTACCACCAGGCCTGCTTTACAAGAGCTTCTGAAAGAAGCATTACACACAGAAAGAAACAACCAGTATTAGCCTTTCTAAAAATACACCAAAAAGTAAAGAGCACCAACATAAAGAAGAATTTACACCAACAAATGGATAAAACAGCCAGTCAACATCAAATGGCAGTAACCCTAAATTTAAATTGACTGAATTCCCAATCAAAAGACACAGCCAAAACCCAACGGCATGTTACATCCAGACCTGTTTCACATGCAACGATACACAAAGACTCAAAACAAAGGGATGGAGAAAGATTTACCAACCAAATGGAGAGCAAAAATAAATAATAAATAAATAAAAAGCAGGAGTTGCAATTCTTGTATCGGATAAAATAGATTTTAAAGCAACAAAGATATAGTGGTAAAAGGATCAATGCAACAACAAGAGCTAACGATCCTAACACCCAGATAGGAGACTTAGATTCAATGAGACAGAAAATTAATAAGGATATCAAGGACTTGAACTCAGATCCAGAACAAGTAAACTTAATAAATATTTATAGAGCTCTCCACTTCAAATACACAAAATATACATTCTTGTCAATACCACATCACACCTACCCATAAGTTTAAATGAAACATTGATTGGCCATTATTAATACCCAATTTTTTTCAAAATAAAGCAATATTTCCATTTACTCTCCCTCTTTCTCTTCCTCTCCTTTACTTTTTTTTTTTCTTTCCTTCTCTCAAAAAAAAAGAAATCAACTTGTAAACCTCTAGATCCAGGTCGGCAATGTCTCTTTCATTGCTTGATTTCCTTTCTTCCCTTCCCTCCCTCCCTCCCTCCCTCCCCGCTTCCTCCCTTCCTTCCTTCCTTCATCCCTTCCTCCCTACCGTCCTTATTCCCTTCCTTCCTGCCTTCCTCCCCCTCCAAAAAATAAAAATAAATAAATAAATAAATGTAGCTTTAATTCACTTTTTTTTTTTTGAGGCAGAGTTTCACTCTTCTTGCCCAGGCTGGAGTGCAATGGCACCATCTTGGCTCATTCAAGTGATTCTCCTGCCTCAGCCTCCCAAGTAGCTCGGATTACAGGTGTGCCA